ACCTGAGTTTGGAGCTGCTGCAGCCATACTGGAATCATGAGGGGAAAGCCAAGAAAATTTCAGAGAAGCTGGTCTTGACCTTTGGAGTTGTTAAGCTGCTGCAAAATTTCCCCACCCCTCATGGCCTTTTAGATTTGCCTCTTCTTTGTTTGAGCCATGGCATATTTTGTGGTTTTTCGGTCTATGCCATCCTAAACCAAAGGGACAAAACCTATTTCTTCACTCATCCCCAATTCCTTGAACCCCAGCAGACCCTCCAGGTTAGGGCTCTATTGAGGAAAAACTCAAGTGTCTAGTAGTCTCTGTATGATAAACAGGTGTGCCATAAGTAGTCGTATTAGAGCAGTGAGGGAGGTAGTCCTGTTTCAAAAATCTCATTTTTGCCTAAGAGTTCTAACCATCCAAAAATTAAAAAAAAAATACAGTCTGTGTTCTTAAGCCTCATGGCCTTTACAGAACCCTCCACCTCCCCTCATCAGAAGAAGTTAAAGACACCACAGATGTCCTAGTGCTTACCTCCTCTCCACAACCTAGGCCCTGGCTAGAGCAAGCCCAAGGCTCCTGGTCCAGATGGCCGAATCCCTCCGAGTCCCTCCGAGTCCCTCCGAGTCCCTCCGAGTCTCTCCGAGTCCCTCCGAGTCTCTCCGAGTCCCTCCGAGTCCCTCCGAGTCTCTCCGAGTCCCTCCGAGTCCCTCCGAGTCCCTCCGAGTCCCTCCGAGTCCCTCCGAGTCCCTCCGAGTCTCTCCGAGCTCGCTTTCCTCGGCCCCGCACCTCAGGGAGCATTCAGCGTGCCAGGCGCCCAGCCTGCCCGAAGCTGGCAGTCTCCAGCGTAGATTCGCTAGCGGGGGGTGGTGGGGGTGGCAAGAGAATTGAATTCCTCCTCCTTCTCCTCCTCCTCGACCAGAGCCCTGGCTGATGCTCAGGGAGGCAGCTGGGACTCGGCTGAGCCAATGCTGTCTGTCTGTCTGTCCGTCTCTCCATTGAGGCCTTTTATATGTATGCATTCATTACATCCTAGAAAAGGAATCCCAGGACTCTCCCTCCCGCCTCCCCGTGGTCCCCGCTGCCCGGTGCAGCCATCACTACAGTGCAAATACACCATGGAGATTGACTGGTTCTGGGACTGATCACGCTGCATTTGTTTTGCAGTTTTCCCAGCTCCATGATCAACAGTGACTTCAAGGTCTCCAGGAGTCATCGTCACAGGTTGACTGTGGAGCTCAGCCTCATAAGAACTGGGCATCCACTGTCCTTCTGCATAGTGTTCGTTGTTGTTTTGTTTGGGGGGCTTGTTATGTTGTTGTTTTATAGACCTGGGTTTGGGGTACATCAGGGCAGAGAGGTCCATTGAGCAATGCGGTTCAGGCTGGCCTTGAACTCACCATGTAGCGAAGCTGGTCTGGAACTTGCGATTATCCTCCTGCCTCAGCCTCCTGAGTGCTGGGATTGTGGGCCTGCACCACCACGGCTGGCTGGTCCTTCTGCACTGTTGATACATGCACTTAAGCGCATCAGCCGGAACACACATACACCATTCTGGTGGCACCGGAAGGTGGCTCAGGGATGGGGTTCTGTGCGCCCTCTCTCTGTCTCTCTCTCTCATTTGGGCTGAGGAGCAGCAGCAAGCTGCTCTTGCGCTGTTAATGAGCTCTTGGGGCTCAGTAAATCTGCGTCTGTGACTGGACAGTGGGGACCCTGATTTTTGAGATGTTCAAGGGCAGTGGCCGCGATGCCTCGTGTCAGATTGCAGGAATGAATACCCGGGAAGTGTGCCAGCCTGGGAAGGCTTCCGGGAGGAGCTGACTCTTGAGCCCAAGTTCTAAAGCTCTGCTTCTTACTCCCTTAGGTGGACAGGAATCAGCGAGGGCCCAGTTGGCAGGGCTGGGGCGCGACCTGTGAGTCTGCACTCCTCACAGGCTCCTGGGAGACGCTGGTGCTCTGAGAGGCAAGGTCACAGAGGGTGACTAAGGGTTATCCCTTGGGCAGGGGTCAGTCAGCACAAAGGGGGAGGTGAGAGGAACCCGGAAGAGGAGGCAGCCTGGGCAGGGACAGGGTGAGACGGGAGCAACGGGGAGGGCCTTGCCACCAGGGAAAGGACGCACGGGAGGGCCTGGTGGGGGAGTGCAGAGTGTGGGTTATCCTGCTGGTCACAGTGAGTCTCGGGGTGGACGTCTCAGCTCTGTCAGAGGTCCATGGGCACTGGTATACCGCTGCCCAGCAGAACATCTGATTTATTGGGTCTGGAGAGGGGCTCGAGAATCTACATTTTTATTTTTCATTTTTTAAAGAGACAGAGTCTTGCTGTATTGCTCAAGTTAGCCTCAAACTCCTGTGCTCAAATGATTCTCCTGCCTCAGCCTCCCAAGGAGCTGGGGCAACAGGTGTGTGCCACCATCCCTGACAGTTACTGCATTTTTAAAAAAACAATTCTTAATTGGCTGTGTTTTTTATCCTAGAATTGGCCAACACTTTATCCCATAAAACAAGTGTTCCCAGGAATCTGCATAAGGGTGCAGGACAGATAGGGGTGACCCCCAGAATATTGCAATGCTTCATACCCCTCATTCACTGGGGCTCCAGCTGAGGGTAAAAGGGGGCAAGAGAGGTGATGAGTATAATTGTAGACCTGTGGGGTTGGGAGCACATCTGGGCAGAGACGTCCGCTGAGCAAGCAGATACTTTCTCAAGGAGTTAAAGAAGTTCGGTGGCCGAAGTGATGGCGATGACGGGGAAGGCAGATTCTGGGGAGAAGAAAGAGCAACGCTGGGCACGAGGTCATGGATGGGACGCAGTCAGGGAATGGCAAATTCTCTGGGCTTGCTGCAGCGAAGCCTAGGTGGGGCAGGGACAGGAAATGCACCTACGGGGGAGGAGGCAAAGCCCGTCATAAAGTCCCCACTGTGCGCCCCAAAGACACTGAGTGATGGCTGCGTGTTGGGGAGGACCAGGCAGGAGGCTCTGCAGTGACCTCAAGGCCTGAAGAAGCCTTGAACCGAGGCAGAACCAGCACCGGCCTTGGTGCTTCCTGCCGGTCCATTTCCCAAACTTACCTCTGTCTCCTCCCCACCGGCCAGTGGGGTCACCGTGTCCTGTGTCCTGGGCCCCACAGCAGCCCCTGACCTGTCTTGCCGCTTTCACACTTGAACTTGTCACCCTGAGTGACCTCTCAGTATCGTCTGTGTCCCTTCTCTGCTGAAACCCATCGTGGCTTTCTGTGAACCGCACTGGGAATGAAGCCCCCCGGCAGATCCTGCCTGCTGTCTGACCGATTCCCCCACCCACTCCTGGCCTGGCCCTCGCTCCCAACACACAGTCCTTTCGAGTCCTTAAGCCCGCCCAGCTCAACCCCCTGTGAGAGCTTTTAACTAGAACTTCCTTCTGCCTGGGCCTGCACACAACTGGAAATGTCTCGCCCTTTAGGTTGTAATTTAAATATTGCTTCCTCAGAGAGACTTTTCTGACAGCCCCCTGAATCACCAGAGTGATTCAGTCATTCTCTGTCAAATCATCCCGCTCCCATTCTCTGAGAATCTCCGATTACTATTAGGTATTTTTCTGTTTGTCTGTATACTTACTGTCTCCCTCCTCCACAGGAGACAGTCTCCCAAAATGGCCGCCATCATGTCCTCCTCTCATTGTACACATAGGCTGCTCCCCTGGTCAAGAAGGGAGGCTAATTTCTCCTTCTGTTTAATCTGGACTGGCCTGGTGACTTCTTAGTACTTGCTCTGACTGATAGAATGCAGCAGAAAAGATGCTGTGCCAGTTCGGGGCCTAACTTTCAACAGGCTTGTTAGTTCCAGTTTTACTCTTGGAAACCAGCTGCCTTGTAACAAATCTGCCTAATGTGAGACCACCATGCCATGAGGAAGCCCAAGCTCTCCAAATGGAGAAGCGCCTGAGAGACAAGGGAGACATAGGCCCTCAGGCCAGCCCAGCTGTCAGATGAGTGCAAAGTGACCTTGGATGGTGATGCCAAATGATACCAGTGCACAGAAGAGCTGCCTAACCTTGCCCTGACCCAGTGCCTGGCAGAAAATTGTGAGACATAAACCCCTATTGTTTGAAGTCAGTAGGCCGTGGAGAGGTTTGCTAGACAGCAACAAGTAACAGAAACACCTTTCCATTACATGAAGCTTCATAAATTTGGCTTGGCAGTGCCTGGCACATGTGTGGACCCCAGAGATATTTCTGGAATGTGTTTTGTTGTTATTGTTTGAGGTGCTGGAGGATAGAAGTCAAGGCCTCCAAAATGCTAGGCAAGTGCTCTACCACTCAGCTATACGCCCAGCCCTGAGTGCGTGAAGTCAGGGAAAATGGTCTTGTTGATTTGTCAGAGGCCTTCATAAAACCAGAATGCTGTTTGACAGCATGAATGCTGGAAATTAAAGAATTAAAGTTAGAAAGTGGGATTTTCCAGTTTCACATGTCAATTCTGAGCTTTGTTTTTTTAGAATTTCTTTTTATTTTAAAGATGGTAGTAAACAAAGTGATACAGATTCTCAAGACAAAATAATACAAATCAACAGTGGCTGTTACATTACATATCGCTATCCTCAACTACATTGCTCAGATTACCAGATGTAAGAATGAAAGATTGCTCCAACCATTAAAGAGAATAAGAAAATAATTCTTCGATAAAACATTAGAGATAATACAGAGTTTCACTAGACAAGATGGTAGGAATTCACCATTGTAATTCCGTTGCGTATCGTTACCTTCAAATCAGTTGCTCAGACCACCAAACACAAGCGTGCAAAGTCGATCAGAACATAAACAGAAATTGCAAGCAATTCTGAGTTTTGAAGACTTATATGATGTAGACATAGCTGGAATAGAGAGGAGACAAAGGTCACAGAAGTTGAGTAGGTAAGCAAACTTGAGGCTGGGACATTTACTGGCTGAGACATACTTACGCAAATTCAACTTTTGAGCTGGGTATGGTGTCAAACACCTATAATCACAGTGTTCAGGAGGCTGAGGCAGGAGGATTACTGCACGTTTGAGGTCAGCCTGGGCTACCTAGTGAGTTCAAGGCCAGCCTGAACTACACAGTGAGACCCTGTCTCAAAACAAGCCTCCCAGGATGGTGGGAGGGCTGGTTCTGGGGAAAGCCCTGGAACATCTCAGCTGAGGACTGTGACAGGCCCCTGGCGCAGATGGGATCCATGGAAGGATCTAGTTTCAAAGAGAGCAAAAAGGATTCCACGAGGGGTCTGTAGCAGTAGGATGGAGAGACATTCATAAAGTAACGGGATCTCAGGACAAACGAGGGCAGCCACGGCAAGCTCAAGGAGAGGCAGGGGGAGGCCGCAGCGGAAGACCAGAGAGGCAGGAGTGTCACAGCTGTGCTGCCCGAGGGTCACGGCTCAGGCTTCACTCCGGGCAGAGCGCAGGACTCAGTGAGATCACCGGGAAGTCAACCGGCCTCAAGGCTTTGGCTGGCCTGGAGGTATAAAAATGTGCGTTTCCTGCCAAGATATCCAGAAGACAGATAACATTTGCTGTTGGCAGCTGATGCGGCAATCTGAGACCTTGGCTCAGGATTCCAAATGGGACTCTGGTGAAAGCGCGGGGGTAGCACCGTGGGTCGCCCACGCCAGGAAGTTCCGGGTCCTGCAGATCTCCAGACCGCGGCTCTGCACCAGGAAGTCACTCGCCGGCACTGTGGGTCCCAAAGCCTCCGCCAGCCTGGTCCAAGTCAGCGCTGGGACTGGCACTCCAGCCAACTAGAATCTTTCAAATTCTAAAAAATAAAATAAAATAAAATAATTAGTCTTTCCTATTATAAAAAGAAAAAATGCGTAACAAAAAATTTGTTTTCAAATTTCCAAAGCAAAAAGGCTCCCACTTCTGTCCTGAGTAAGACGGAACCCTTAACATGCTCATTGTAGGAGCCCAGTCACAGTTGCTCCGAGCTCTTGTTCCTTGTCCTGATTCTCCAGTCAAGGGGTACCCCGCCGAGGACAGGTGACAGAACTAAACAATGGCTCCTTCAAACACTGGCAGGTGTTTATTAAGCTCCAGCTCATTCGCTGGGTCTCTCCTGATTTCAAGTGACATAAGCAGCTTAGGCCATGTGGGAAATGTATTGGTTCATACAAAAGGAAAAAGAAAAAAGAAATGAAGATGGTGAGGGAAAAAGAAAAAAGGAAGGAAGGAAGGAGGGAGGGAAGGAAGGCTAGATCAGGTCGATCCAGTGCTTGAACGGTGCCGGCAGGAATCTCTGCCCCCACACCCATCATCTCAGCTCGGCTTTCTCAGTATCAACTTTCTGTCAGGTAGGGTTTCCCAGCTGGTGACCTTCAGGGGCTCTGGGCCTGCTTCCTGCTAAGTTGGCAGCACCCACAAAAAGTCACCTCCTTTCCTGCCGCAGTGTTCTGAGGGATGCTTCTCAGTGGTTATGCTTGGGTCACATGTCCATCCTTGAGCCAATCGTGACCAAGAGGATGCAGTGCTCTCATTGGCCCGGTCAGCTCAGAGGCTCACCCTTGGGACAGCCTGGTGGTGTTGGGCCCTGTGAAGCCACACAGAGAGGTGGGTCCTCAAAGAGCAATTGTGCATTCAGCTGGGTGTGGTAATGGACGCCTGAAATTCTAGCATTCTGGGAGGCTGAAGCAGGAAGACTGCAAGTTCAAGCTCAGCCTGGGCAATTTAGCAACTTGGGGAGATCTTGTCTCAAAAATAAAACAAAAAGATCAGGAATATAGTTCAGTGCAAAGGCCCAGGGTTCAATCCTCAGTACAAAAAAAGGAAAAAGAAAAGAAAGAGAGAGAGGAAGAGAAAAAGAAAGAAGGAAAGAAAGAGAGAAAGATTTCGCAATTACCAGGAGCGGCATGGCATCCAGGCTCACGACACAGCACGTACCTGTGACATGACGGAAGCAGCTTCATGGATCTGTGACCTTACAGTGACAACAGCCCAGCTCCTAGAAGAGCCCTCTGTGTGGATTGATGTGTCACTGTTTAGAAATTCTTAATCTTTTTTTTTTGAGACAGGGTCTTGCTATGCAGTTTAGGCTGGCCTTGAACTCACTATGTAGCGCAGGCTGGCCCTGACCTTGCATCGATCCTCCTGCCTCAGCCTCCCGAGTGCTGGGATTACAGCCATGCTCCACCATGCCTGATGAAGTTCTTATTTCTTAATTTGATATTTAATAACTAATTACTAATTCTTTTTTATTTTTTTATTTTTTTGGTCTTTTTGAGACAGGGTCTCTCTATGCAGTTCAGGCTGGCCTTGAGCTCACTTTGTAGCTCAGGTTGGTCTTGAACTCTCAATGATCCTTCTGCCTCAGTCTCCCGAGTGCTGGGATTACAGGCGTGCTCCACTGTGCCTGGCTAATTACTAATTCTTAAGAATTTAAAGCTCTTAATAATCTGGGACTAGGGACCTGCAGTTTCACTTTTCTCTGACTCCTACCAGTCAGGCAGCTGGTCTTGCTGCTATCCTACTGTGAGCATGGGGACTTCAGGGAACGCAGTCCCCTGGAGAGAGGAGACACAGGACCCATTCGGGGACAATAAGTAGGCAGTGCTGGTCGGGACCTGTAAGGAAATGGGGGCGAAGTTATTCACTTGGTCATTTAAAACTTTAGAACACAAGGCTGAGGTCTTGCTATTGCCAGGGAGCAGGGAACAAGGACGGGGTTCCCGGGAAAACCCTGCTCTGTGGGACCCGGATGTACACAGGCTCAGCAACGCAGAGTAGAGGTGGAGGCGCGGGGAGGGCAGCACCCGTCCAGGCTGGAGGCAGGTACCCTGCAGCTGTGCCAAAGGCAGGCATGTGATTGGTCACAGAAGCCCTCGCAGAGCGTGCTAAGCCTCTTGGCTGGTGACTGACAGGAAAACTCATGCGGATGGCTCCCCAGAGCGGGAGAAATCTGAGACTCGCTTCCAGACAAAGCCTGGCATCTGAGCCACCCCAGGGACCGCAGGGCACTCCACAGAGATGGTCTCTTCAGCCAGGAACCGGGCCAGCACATGTCGTCAGACCTGAATATCTCTACAGTCCTGGGCTGGTCTAAGGGTTGAGATTTTTACATCACGACCGCAGGTAAAATATCCCTTACATCTTGGAAGACTACAGGGACCTCCAGCTCCTCAAAGGGGAGACAACATGGAACCAGTAGGGAGATTTTACCCTCCAGTGTCTGTGCTTTGCAGTTACATGAACCATTTTTATGCTATTTTTACAATAGAATCATTAACCCCATATACTTTTTTTTTGAGGTTGGGGACCACCATGCTCCTACTGGGCAGCATGGCTTGCCCCTGCACCGCTGCAATTTTTCATTTCTTTCTAGTATCATCATGGCCTTAGGCTTTTTTGTAAACTCAAGCGGTTCCAGTGAAGTATAATCACCGTTTTCTTTCTGATGATCAAAAAGTAGAACTAAACCAGGGTCGCTGCCATCAAGAAACTTAAATTCTGTTTGGAAAAACAAGGTCCAACATGTAGGAAAAACTCAATGAACGGGAGGATTTGACATGCAGAGGAGCCTGTTTTGACGTAGACCCGCTGTGCGTAGATGTGGGCAGTGCCTTCCTCCCACACAGTTCTTTGAAGGTAGTAGGCTAAGAAATTTTTCTTGCAGTGAAGACCTGAATCCGGGCCACCGCTGGATTCAATGCCACAGTGTATCTGTCGGAGGAGGGGCTCAGGGTAACAAGCTGGTGGGGGTGAGACTTCAGCTGCCAAGGGACAAACAGCAAGTAAGATCAGGACCTTCTGTGGACCAACGTGAGACCTCCTTACCTTTATGCAAAAGTGAGATCGCTGATATCTGTAGCGAATAACAAACTACCAGAGAGCGTGGTAGTATCGCTTCTCGGCCTTTTGGCTAAGATCAGGTGGAGAGCGTGGTGGTGATCACTGGCTGAAAACAATAGTTATTTGTGTAGCTCATGGGGCTAGGTTGACTGGGATCTCCTAGTGGGTTCCTGCTCAAGGTTTCCGGTCCCTGGTTTCCATGGGGATAGCCAGGTGTGGCTGCCGCTGGAGTCATCTCGAAAGCATCTTGGCTATTGTGTTGACAGTTCGTTTGAACCTCAGCTGGGCTTTGAGCCAGGACACTCCTGTCCATCGAACCAGCTCCCTCTCCTGTGGCATCTGGCTTCCGAGAATGAGCAGGACATGGCAAGCACCAGTTTCTTCTGGTTGAGGCCAAACACTGGTGTGGGTCTCTTACCTAAATCCCACTGTCACTCATTTCAGAGACCAGACTCAAGGAGTGCCACCTTCAGATGGGAGGTGTTTCAAAGAATTGGGGAACCACTTTTTCTTTGTCTTTTTGAGACAGGGTTTCACGATGCAGTTCAGACTGGCTTTGAACTCACTTTGTAGTCCAGGCTGGCCTCAAACTTGCATCAATCCTGCCTCAGCCTCCCAGGTATTGGGGTTATGTGCATGCACCACCACACCTGGCTTAAGGGGCCTCTTTTAAACACTGAAACATGGCTTTTTGAGAGTGAAGTACATTGCATGAATATTCTCATTTAATTCTCACCATGACTGCTAGGACCATTTTTAAGATAAGGAAATAGCCAGGCATGGTGGTACATTCCAGTAATTCCAGAACTTGGGAAGCTGAGGCAGGAGGATCGTTGAGAGTCTGAGGCCAGCGTGGGCTACCAAGTAAGTTCAAGACCAGCCTGCATAGTGAAACTCTGTCTCAAAAAAAAAAAAAAGAAAAAAAGAAAGGAAGAAAGAAAAAGAAGGGAAGGAAGAAAGGAAGGAAGGAAGGAAAGAAAGAAAGAGAAAAAAGAAAGAAAGAAAGAAAAAGAAAAAAGAAAGAAAGAAGAAAGAAAGAAAAAGAAACGTCTCAGGGGGAACTAAAACTCAGGGAGAGCAAGTGACTTGCTCAAGACAACACAACACTCCCACTCCAAAGCCTGTGTGCTTAGCCGCTACTCATTGTGAGGCTCCAAATACCCAAGGACAGAGGAATGTGGAAGGGGCTGGGATCTTGAGGTGGGAGGACTCCAAGCAAGTCTAGGCTGACCTCTTACACAAATCTGGAGTGCGTCCACCCATAGACCACAGTCATTTGAGTCACAGAGCCACCCCCAACCCTTCTCTGAGGTTTTGCTTTTCACAGTTTTGCCTACTGAGGTCAACCACAGGCCAAAAAATTAAATGGAAAATTCCAGAAATAAACGCTTGGTAGGTTTTAAAGTACATACCACCATTCTGAGGGGCATGATGCAATCTCAAGCCAGTCCTCTCCCACCTTGCCTAGGATGAGAATGGTCCCTTTGTGCAGTGTATCCATGCTATATATACTACCCACCTGTTAGTCACCTAGGAGCCATTTCCATTACAGTCTGCTGTAGCAGTATCAATATGCTATTATAATTATCCTACTTTACAATGTTTTTCATCTCCTTATGTGCCTAATTTATAAATTGAACTTTATCATAGATACATGTGTATTGGAAAAATAGCATATGTAGGGTTTGGTACTGGGCTCAGTTTCAGGTATCCATAAGGGCTTGGGGACTTATGCCCTGCAGGTACACAGGAGACAGCTGTGCATTTAAATGCTAACTGCACATTCACTAAAAAGGAGCTTGGATATAGGAAAGACACGATGTAGGCTGACTATCCCGGGAAGCCTCCATACATATTTTTTTTTGGCTGAGCCTAATGAGCAGGTAGGACCTGAGTTACAGAGGAATGGAGAAAGGGTGGCAAAGGTTTTCTTGAAGGCTCTCTCCAGCATCCTGGGGCAGGGTCAGACTTGGATTTCGTTTACTGTAAAGACGCCCCTGTTGCTAATGCAGAGAGCCAGGACTTCACTTTAAAAATAAATCCTCCTTCCTTCCACGTCTTCATTTTGGAGGCATGTGGTTTGCTGAGAAGACAACGAGTTAAATACTCTGCACAAAACTTATCGGTGGTTTGTGTTTATGTGTGGTCTGCTCACAGAACTCAGAAGAACCTTCCTCCGTAGGACAGCTGCGTAGCCCGTCCCCTCCACTCGAGCCTGGATTTGGCAGGAAAAAGTCGAATTTCAGCTTCACTTTGGCAGACCACATGTTTAGAAGGTCAGAACAAAAACTGGCTGTGCAACTTTTTGTGAAAAGTTCACTTGGTGAGGCGGGAGAGATTCTTTGATCTTGTAGGTCAGGGTGCTGGAAGCTTCAGGCTCCTAAGTTTATTTTGTGGTCAGGTTGCCAGGTTGCTGAAGAAAGACCTATGGTTAGGGTGTGATTCTCTGCCCTGCACTCTGCGTCACTCAGCTTTCATGGGGGAGGGGGCCAGTGGTTGCGGTTTTCTGAAAGCATCCAAAGTAGCCCCCTGCCAAGAGTTCTTAGGCCCTAGCAACTCTCAGAGAAAATTCTGAGAAATGCTGTGGTGAAAGGCACTTCCTTCCTTTAAACCAGAGTGCTTTGTCAGGGGAGCTGAGCTCTGCACGATGTGAGAAGGGCTGGTAAGCTGCTCCTAGTGAAAATCAAACAGGTATTTGACCGGTAAGCTTTGTGTGTGGTGTGACAGAACTACTTCACTTGCTGTGTTTTCAGGAAACCACTTTTAACCTCATGGATGGTGGGATTCAAACCCGGAGGAGCGTTCAAGCACCTGGCTGACCTTTGCACACAGGGCGCTCGCCACTCAGGCAGGGCAAGGTCAGCCTTCGGGTTCAAAGAAGACCCATTCATCTCCAGCAGGCTACTGAAACACATGTTTTTAGCTGCAAAAAATATATATACACTTAGTATAGAAAAAGCATAAAACTGCAGAAAAGAGACAATTTTTTTAAAAAGCCACCTGTTATCCTATTACCAGAAATAATCACTCTTTTTAAGTATGTTCCCAGAGCTTTGCTATGCATACATTTACATGCGTAAATAGTTATGGGCTCAAACCCTTCCATGTCTTTTGATACTTATCTTAATTAATATATTTCAGTATTAATGTTAAATAATACTCCTTTGCAGAGCTATATTATCTATTTAATGAATCTCCTACTATTGGAGATTAATGTTGTTTATTCTTTTTTCTATTTTAATAATACTGTACTCAGTACCAAAGAAAAAAAATAATACTGTACTATAGTGATTATCCTTAATTATTTTCTTAGGATAGGTCCCCAAAAATGGTCATTGCTAGGGCAAAGCTTTTGACATGTTCAACATGTTTGACACTACATCAGTCAGGAAAGGCTAAATGTTATAACAAACACTCCCAAATCTCAGTGGCTTAACATATGTATTTCTCTCTTATGTTACAGTGCAGTGTAAGTCACCCAGTTGGGACTGGAGGTTGCTGGGCAACCTGCCCAGAACCAGGGTTTGGCTTACCATTAGTCAAGTCTTGGAGATTTCCACTGGATCCTCTGATTCCAGGAGGTGGGTAAAAGTGAAGACAGACCATGGATAATCACATGTAGTTTTGCAGTAAGGCATGGAAGTGGCTTCTAATTGGCTGGGACTCAGTCACATGACCACCCCTAACTACAAGGGATGCTGGGAAATGTGGTTTTCTACATTTATGTTCAGGGGAAAAACAAAGGCTGTGTGACTACAGAGCCAGCATTGTCTTTGCCCCAGACTTCAGCAAGTTCCAACGAGCAAAGTTTTCCAGTTTTATTTCTACAAGCAGAGTGTAAGAATTCCTATTTCCCTACCCTTCAGTAGTAAAGAGCATGACATTTTTGTGGGTCTATTGTCCATAGCTTTACATATGACATGGCTGCTTTTCTGCAGATAGACTCGGAGTATCTCTGTCTTTGTAGATGATCTCTCTGGAAGCCAGCACTGAAGCCCTGAAACTTCCAGGACAGCTGCCCCATCAGTCTCTAGGCTGGCCTGAGATTCTGGACCTTTCTCTGCCTGCTCTTCTATCCTACAGAAGAAGGCATTATATCCAGGTGTCTGCAGAAGGGGCCACCACTTCAGGGCCTTTGCCTCAAGCCCCAGGCCCCAGCATCATCCCTGAATGCAGGGTCCCTCAGAGACCTCAGGAGTAGTTAAAACTTTGCACTTTCAGAGCTATCTCAGGTGTGTTCACGCTGACACTACTTTTTCTTTTTTTTTTTTGTCTTTTTGAGACAGGGTCTCACTATGCAGTTCAGGTTGGCCTTGAGCTCACTTTGTATCCCAGGCCGGCCTTGAACTCATAATAATCCTCCTGCCTCAGCCTCCTGAGTGCTGCGATTACAGGCGTGCCCCCCAACGCCTGGTGACACTACATTTTCACAAGGCAAAAAAATTCAAGGATTGACACTGGGAGACAAAGATAACAGCAGGTGCTGACTTGCATTGACTTTAACCAAATCATCGGGTGCTGGTCCTTAGTCCTTAGTCCGCCACCAGAACAATCCTTCCCAGGGAACAGTAAGTCACAGTCTCGCATCTGAGCTGTAGTAGCCTCCTTGTTCTGAAATGTAGTCACTGGGGAGAACATTTTCAAAAGGCTTTTTCTCCACATCTCCCACAGGATGAATATGGTTCACTGGGAGGCCTGGCCCCTTGACAGCGAGTTCCAGTGAGGACTGAAAATGGCTTCCACTGCCAATTTTCCCAAGGCCTCCTGGGAACCGAGGGCCTGGCACGAGCACCGAGAGCAACTGCAAACCAGGTGGACCACGGATTTCCCAGCCTCTGTGTCCAGCACCAGCATTCCTAAAAGCTGATGACAGTTCGCACGCTTCCTCAGGAGTGAACCAGCATCTCACCCTTCCAAGTCCTGTCCCCCACTCCCTCCCTAGGAGGCAGCCTTGGCCTCTGGGCCTCCTGGGTGAGTGACTCACACCAATTGTGAAGCTTGTGACCTAGAAAAGGAAGCAGGAAGTGGCTTAGAGATGTAAAGAGCGCAACCCATGGGGGTCGCGGTAGAATCACCTCAGATGAGCCCGTGGGCTCTGTCACCATGATGCCCTCTGGTCTCACTGGGAATCATCTCATGGGGTTTCTCCCTGGAACTGGGGGACAGGGACAGCAGAGGAGTCCCTGCTACTGTTGTAGACAGGCAAGGTAGGCAGAAGACAGCAGGCAGCAGGCCTAAGCGGGGGTCAGGATGAGCAGGCTCTGGTCGGATAAGCAGGAGCCTGAGGTCTGAGTTAACAAGAGCAAGGTGGACAGTCAAGGCCAGGGAGGTAACAAGCGAGGCGATGGATGCTGGCATAGCAACTGCCGCTCTTGCTTATGTGGGAAATGGTTTTCCTGCTCACTTTGTTCTTTTAATGAACCACTTGGGCAGGACAGAGGGCAAGAGGCCCCTCAGACACACGCTTGCCATGTGACTCAGTTCCTCATAGGCCCATGTCTAGTCCTCTGTAGGTTGACTTTAGTTTCACCCAGAGCTGTTTGAGCCCTGGTCATTTTTTGTTATAAAATCCCCTAGACAAACATCCCCAAGGTGACCCATTTTCGGGTTCCCTCCTCTTAACCCTTTAATGTCTACTGTTCCATTTCTGGAATGTCCATACCAGTGGAACATCCTAAAATGTTTTCTCTGCAAATTTTTGTTCCTTGGCTTTTTCTAGCTAACATATATGAATTTCACACCAAAATTCAAAACACTGCGAAGTTCGGCATGAAAGGGTTGATAAACCATCTTCCTGTCTACTTCCTTTGTCCTCGAATTAACTCTTTGACTTCGTGAGACACAACCCCAGATTGCACTGTTCCACTGTGGGGTCCGTGGCCTCTCTCCAGAGGGAGCCCCTCGGTGGAACAACCTGCTACCCTGCACCCCATCTTTGCAAAAGTAACTCCTGACACCGCCTGAGTGTCCCAGGAAGGTCCAAAGCTGTCACGCCTACACCTAGAAGAGGCCGCCCCTGCCCTCAGCAGGGCCCTGGGGGTTCTGGCTGCAGGAAGGGGGCACTGTGGGGAGCGGGCTGACCTCCCCACAAAGGAAAGCTTCCCTGGGGCATCCTTGTGTTTTCTTTTTTTTTTTTTTTTTTTTTTTTTTTTCTTTTTTTTTTTTTTTTTTTTCCAGTAATGGGGATCGAACTCACGACCTTGCGCTTGCCAGGCAGGCACTGTGCCACTGAGCTAAATCCCCAGCCCCAATCCTCGTGTTTTCATGTGTTCTCACAATACCTGGCACACTGTGGGCCCAGCTACCCCGTTGCTGAATCCTGAAGACCCCCAGCTGGGGCAGAGCAGGGCTGGGCACAGGAGGAGCCCATTCAGAGGTCAGTCCCACCCTCCGGTCTCTCCAAGCAGGGTCCTTGGGCCACCAGCCGCAGAATCGTGGGGTGGGGGCTGTTACAGATGCTGGTTTTGGCTCCCTCTGCAAACCTCCAGAATCTAAACATCTGAGGGAAACCCTGGACATCTGCGTAACTAGAAACACCACCTTCTCCAGGCTGGGGCACGGTGAAGTCTCAGAACCTTTCTCCAAAGCAGTGTAGTGGTGTACGTCTATAATTCCATCAGTCTGGGAGGCTGAGGCAGGAGGATTGCAAGTTTGAACTCAACCTGGGAGATTTAGTGAGACCCTCTCTCAAAATAAAAAGTATGGAAGGGCCGAGGATATGGCTCAGTGCAAAGGCCTTGGGTTTAATCTCCAGTTCCACCAAAACAAAAACAACAAACAAAGCCTTCCTCTCTGTCAATCCTTATCTCATTCTTTATTCTTCCCAGGAAAATAATTTGCTTCCCCTTAGCTTTTTGCAACCTCTGACAATGAAATCTGAAGCAGAGGGACCCACTTACACAAGAGACAGCCTCTGTGGCTTAACCGGCCAGCAAGGCTCGCCAGCTTCATCAGTGGGGGATTTGGAGGAGGCCAACCTTGCATCACCAGGCTGCCTCTGTCGCTTTCACACAGACTTGCTGCCATTCCAAGTGCCTCTTCAGCTTTTTCTTCTCCTTTTGGAGGTTGGGGTAACAGAGGATTGAGCTCAGGGTCTTCCTGTGAGCTATATCCCCAACCATTCTTGTTTGAGACAGGGTCTGGCTCTGTAGTTCAGGCTGAACTCACTGCATAGTCAAGCCCTGGCTGACCCTGAACTCACAGCGATCCTTCTGTCTTAGCCTCTCAAGTACTGGGATTGCAGGCATGCGCAACAATGCCCAGCTCCTGTTTTTGATTTTGAGACAGGGTCTCGCTAAGTTGCCCAGGAAGGACTCAAACTTGGAATCTTCCTGCCTCAGCTTCCCAAGTCTTTCACTCCTCTTTTCCACAAGCGAAGGGACCTGCTACTTTCAGAGGTTGAGCTCCTGGAGCCTTCCAGCACGAGGCCAGTGCAGGCCAACTTCTTCCTGTTCACTGAAGGAACAGTGTGGAATCCTTTGGTGTCTCCACAGAGAACACGCTGACCTCACGGAAGCAGGAGGAGCCAAGCAGGGTGGGCGGTGAGAACGTTGGGGACCAAAGGCCCTTCTCTCTGCTAACCCCTGGTCTTCTCCAGGGCCCTGTGAGCCCTCGGGGCCAGTACCGTGGCTTGGCTAAAGGGGCTTTCTCAGCCACCCAAGCACTCACCCACCCAACCATCCTACCAACCAGCTGCCCAACCTCCCTCCTCCCCCCCCCCCCCCCTCCCAGCCTGCTCCTAGCACCAGCCGCCTCTCATGGTGTAGATCCTCTTCCACGCAGCTTTCCGAATGCCGCTGGCCTCACAAGCGGCTCCCAGAGCCGTCTCTAGAAATAGCCTCTTGCAAACCAGGGAGAAGAGACAGCGCTACCTGCTAGTCCTCAGCCCTGGGCCGCCGAACGCCCACATCACGCCCAGGGTGGGCTCCCTCCCGGCCTCCCCCTCGGAAGGCAAAGTGGTCTGGGTGTCCTCAGCTGTTTGTGGCTGAGTGCGGTCACATCAAGGTGGCGGCGGGATGGGATGCGGGCTGGGGTTCTGTCCGGAGGTTGGAGGTGAGTGTTGGTCTCTCCCCCTGGACGCCTGGAGCCCTGATTCGATGAGTTTTGTCACTGTCTTTGCAGTTCTGGGGATTGAACCCAGGCCCTTTGCACAGCGGGAGGGAGCTACATCCCAGCCCTTTTTAATTTCACAACAGTGTCTTACTAAGTCTCTAGGTTGCCCAGCTGAGTTCAAACACAGCACAGGCTGGCCTTGAATTCATGGTAATCCTCCTGCCTCAGCCTCCTGAGTGCCGGGATTACAGGCATGTGTCATCACACCTGGGAAGTTTTCAGACATAAACACGAGGGAGTGCCATGTGACATGGAGGCTGAGGGTGGAGGGATGCAAGCCGGGGATCCCCAAAGATGGCCAGCAGCCACCAGGAGCTGGTGAGCATAGAGAAGATTCTCCCAGCCCAAGAAAGAGCTGCCCTTCTGACCCCACGATCTGGACTTCTAGCTTTTAAAACCGTGAGCAACCCGTCTCTCTTGTCAAGGCATGCTGTTGGCGGTCCCTACTTTCTTACACAGCTGTAGCTAACCAATACAAGGCCCCTCAACTCCTAAGGAACAGGAACCTGGGGACTGGCGCAGCTCTCAAGCGGTTTCCTTGCTACCCCGCAAGGCTGTGAAGCCCTGAGGATCAGCGGGCCTCCACACTGCTCTGGCTGAGGGAAGTCAAGGAGGAGCACAGGCCTCCTCATGGCCTCCAAAGACCACCTCCCTCTAGAATGGGCGCTTGTCTTCGGGAAGGCTGCTAGTAATATAAATAGCGCTTCCTGGGTTCCAGAAACTATTGGAACAGCTGTAATACACCAACTGCTTTCCTTGTTATTACAGATGGGACACTAAGGCCCAGGGCGGTTAACCCGAGGTTCATGGCTGGTGAGAGGAGAAGGAAGGTTTGAGCCAGGGGCTGTCTTGAGTCCACTTTTAAACTGGTGAACTGCGATCATGCTCATCACATACAATCCCGCCTCAGGTACGGGAGCTTCTGACTGCAGTCGGTGTGCAGAGCGGAAGTCAATGCCGAACGGCCGCCTCCCATGCCAGGCCCTCACTGTGGAGGCCAGGCCACGCGTCGTCCTGACTTTGTCCTCCCCAGGAGACCCCAGCATCTCTCTCCAGCTGCGGCCACCAGGGCTCTGGAGAGAGGCCGGGCCCTGCAGCCCTCTGGGGGCAGGAGGCCTGGTCTGTCTGGGACTGTCCAGCAACCAGGGACCCAAACCCTCGCTCTCCTCCTGTCCCTGGAGGCCTTGGGTCGTGTTGTCTTTGGACACCCTGACGAGGCCGTTCCCCGTGCACTGTTCCCCCAGGTGCACAGACACACTCGTGGAGAGCAAGTGTCCTGTGCGCCTCTCCTGTCCACATCCCGGCCCCGGGGACGTGGCCTTGCCTTTGGGGACCGAGAGGCAAGAGGGGTGGAGGAAGAAGTCACAGGCCCGGAGCAGGACCCTGGGCCCGGTTGCCGCCAGCTGGCTGCCCCCCATCTGCGCGTGCGGCCCATGCGACAGTGCCCCATGGTGACAGTCCTGCCGGAGGCTGCCGGGATACAAGGGCACTCTGTCAACAGAAGTGAGCGCTTGGCTGCTATGCGCATCTGTGTTGGTCCTCGTCCTTCCCATCTGCTATCTCCTCAGCACAGCCAGACGTCAGCGCCGTTAAGAGGTCGAGTCTGAGGCCCAGCCGTCTCTCCCCGGGAAGCTGCTGGGTGGTGTGGAGCCTGGGCTACAGGGACTCTGGACAGCCCGCCGGGTCCCCCGGATCCTCTGGCCGCGATCAGGAACGTCCCAGAGTCATCATGCCAAGGGAGCATTGAGATGGCTTGCCGCGAGGGATTTCTGTTTTCTCTCTGTTATCCAACAGCAGTGCTTTCGCTGCTGTTTCTCAGCTGCTGCACCAGGATAATGACAGGGAGACAGATGTGTGTG